GCAGGAGGGTGGAGTATCTGTTTTACCACTTTTGTAGAGGAAGAATGAAGAATGGCTCGCATCAATAGCAACAGACACTGGGCCTTTATTGGCCACGGCTTCCTTCAAGGCTTCTTCACTGCCATAGGGAAGTTCTGTGTAACTTGAGCATGTGGCAGCGCGATTTTTTGAATCATAATGGCATTTTTCATCCTGCCAAAATAAATAAATGGATAGATAATCAGAGGAAGTATATATCTCAATTTGCTTTATAGAACACCAATATCCTAAGTCTGGATTTTAAATATATTTTCTGTCCTCGCTTTAACATTTTCAGTTACAGAGCGGAGAGCGAGGAGGCTGCGTCTGGCTCCTGCTCTCACAGCCACTGCAGTACACTGAGCTCCACAGAGCCAGCGCCGGGGCAAGTGAGAGCCGGACGGCACTGGGCGGCTCTGTAGCTCGCTGGGGAGAACAAGGAAACACGGGCAGAGGAGATCCTAAGAAGCCGACAGGCAAGATGCCATCCTACGCATTCTTTGCGCAAACTTGCGGAGAGGAGCACAAGAAGGAGCACCCAGATGCTTCCGCTAACTTCTCAGAGGCTTTTAAGAAGTTCTCCGAGAGATGGAAGACCACGTCTCCTAAAGAAAAAGGAAAATTTGAAGATATGGCAAAGGCGGACAAGGCTCGTTATGAAAGAGAAATGAAAACTTATATTCCTCCTAAAGGAGAAACAAAAAAGAAGTTCAAGGATCCCAATGCGCCCAACAGGCTTCCTTTGGCTTTCTGCCCAAAAATCAAAGGAGAACATCCTGGCCTCTCCATTAGTGATGTCACAAAGAAACTTGGAGAAATGTGGAATAATACTGCAGCAGATGACAAGCAGCCATATGAGAAGAAGGCTGCTAGGCTGACGGAGAGGTATGAAAAGGACATCGCTGCCTACCGGGCCGAAGGAAAACCTGATGCAGCAAAAAAGGGAGTCGTGAAGGCTGAAAAAAGCAAGAAAAAGAAGGAAGAGGAGGAGGAGGAGGAGGAGGAAGAGGCTGATGATGAATAAGTTGGTTCTAGAGCAGTTTTTTTTTGTGTTTGTTTGTTTGTTTTTTTTTTTGTCTGTAAAGCATTTAACCCCCCTGTGCACAGCTCACTGCTTTTGAAGAAAAAAAAATTGAAGTGTAAAAAAAAGAGAAATTTTTAAGTGGCTAAGAGTCCTTTTTTTCTGTTTCTTCTTCCTTTTTTTTGAGAGTCTTGCTATATAGTGCAAGACCTAACAGTACCAGATTTCACCAATAACAAAGGAAATTTAGGCCTGTTTTATTATTTTAAATTGTAAACATCTTTACATACTGTACTTGCCAGCAGCTGGACATGGTATTCATGAGTTCTGAGGCAGGAGAATCACTGCAAGTTCTCAGCCACTTTGGGCTACCTAGTGAGTTCAAGGCCAGCCTGAAGTACACAGTGAAGTTCTGTCTCAAAAAAACCAACCAAGAAGAAAAGTGAAGAGAAGAAAAGAACTGAAAAGAAAAGAAAAAAACCTGAAAAAATTGCCAGGACTATCTGTGAGGTGTATTGTAGAGGAATATTACACAGAGGCCATAAAGTCTAGACCAGAACTTTAAAATCATTTTCATGACATCACAAATACAAGATGTTTGCAGTTAAAATGATGGTTTATAAACTGAACCTTGCAGTGCAATTCTAGCACTCTGGGGGGCTGAGGAGAAAGACAGCAAATTCAAGGCCAGCCTGACATTTTAGCAACTTAATAAAGCCCTATCTCAAAAGTTCTAGGGTTATAGAAGATATAAGTTCACTCTCCAGTATTTAAAAAAAAAAAAAAAAAAAAGATGCTTTACAGAGAATACATGCTGGGTATGGTTGCACATGCCTGTAACTCTAGTGCTCAAGAGGCTGAGGCAGAAGGATCACTGCAAGCCAGTCTGAACTACATAGTAAGACCCTCTCTGAGAGAGAGAGAGAGAGAGAGAGAGAGAGAGAGAGAGAGAGAGGCCATACAATGTGGAAAACACCAATTAGTATATTTCAAGTGGGAAGAGGAAGATTATTGTTATTATTATCATTTGTATTTTAAGGAAGGGTCTACAGGGTGTTCAGGGTCTCACTACTAGATCAGACTCATAGTGATTCGCCTGTTTACAGCCTCCCAAGAGCTGGGATTACAGGCATGCACCACCAAGCCCAGTCTCAATTGCCATCTCAGTGAGCCTCGGGGTCAGGGCTGGCACAGCAGGCCTGGGGATCAAACCCCCGGCTCCTGTGCCTGCTTGCAGGAACTTTAATCTGCTGAGCTATTTGGCCAGCCCTATGGGAAAAGAAAGAGTATAAATCCATGTTTATGTGGGATACATGTTAGGAATTCACATGTATGCAACCATGTTTTTTAAATGCTTAGCAGGAAAAGAACATGAGAGAAATAATGCAAAAACAATAGAGGCATTTGAGTTTGGTTGTTTTGAGATAGGTTAGGCTACTCACTATGTAGCCTAATGAGTTCTGGCCCTGAACTCTCCTGCCTCAGCCTCCCAAATCCTAGTATTATAGGTATGTGCCACCATCCCCAGCTTGAGTAGTTTATTTATCTTTTCTAAATTTTCTGTAACATGGACATATTACTTTATAATTTAACAAAATATGTAATAAACTTGCAAGGAAGAAGCAAGTATTGCTGAACTTTTTTGTACATAGAATAACTTTGATGATCTGAGAGTGAGGTTGAATGTGGGAGGCTGCAGAACGAAAAGCTTAAATCTGAGGCAGCTATACAGAAAAAGTTTTGAGAATGATTTGCTTCAAGCCTGTGTTTAGGTATAATCGGTACCCATTTGCTTAAAAACATTGTGCCACTGAGTAGAAGGCAGTGTAAGAAAGAAATCTTGGGAACCCAGCTGGGGTTCTCACACACGCAACACGGCTGCCAAAGCGCCCGCCCGGCTGGGTGGAGAGCCCTGTGCGGTCGGTGGCCAGCGGGCAGTCACGGAGCAGCACCCAGTTCGCTGGTGACCTACCATGGCTTTGTAGGGATAGGAGGTTTCTGAGTCAATGCCGTTGTTATCGATGATGTACTGGAAGGCCTCCGTCATGAAGCCGCCGTTACAGCCTTTATTTCCATATTTTTGAGTTGAGCAGTCCACCAGGTTCTGTGCACTGAGAGACACCAGCTTTCCGGTTTTCAGCTTCACCTGCGCTTCCAGGGCTCCCACGGCACTGAAGGCCCAGCAAGCACCGCAGGCACCCTACGGGACAGGGGCCACAGGAGTCAGGAAGGGGGGCTCCCATCGCAGGGCTCGGACTCAGGAGGGCTTCTCCACTACAGTCCCTTCTCTCTTAGACAGTGGGAATGAAGACTAAATACGTGACTGTTCTCTAGGCAGAGTCCATCTCGTGGAGACTTGCAAGGATAGGCTCAGATCACAGTGGCCATATTGAAGTCTATTAAGGACCAGTACTTCCTGAGCCTGTCCCAGATTCTGCCCATCTTGCCCTAGAGCGAAAGGAGATGGATGCACACAGCTCAGGGATTTCAAACAGGAAAAAAAAATGGTTTCCTTTGCCATGAAGTTGCTTTCTTCCCAACAAATGATGCTCCAAGCCTAAGTTTTAATTTAATATTTTCCAAATATTGTTGTCCTTAGCATGTTTCATCAAAAGATATTTTATACCACGATAAAGCAAGACCTATATAACAAGAAATGTAACTTTTGTATCTGCCAACGTCAGTCAGATCCCCTCAGGATTTATCCTGAAATGTTGTACCACAGTTTGTAGATCCTTTGTCAGTGTCAGCCATGTCTTGGTCTTAACCATCCAGCAGAGAAGTATAAAAAAGAAGTATAAAAAGTAAAGCCATATTAATATGCTGAGCTGTAAAAGGCTCAAGTCAACAACTTCTGACATTGCTAGTCCTATGGATAACCCACTACAATTATGGACTACTGGACTATATTGGAATATTTTGCTGAATTCACACACTTAAAATATTTAAATGACAGTGGAATACCCTTCTCTGACAAAACTAAACAAAAAAAGGGGATACAAATGAAGGACCATTTTGTATCTGTACATTCAAAACAGTTAAGATAAATATACAGCTACTTTCTCTTAATTCAATGAATAGAAAATTTGTTCTAGTAGTGTTTGTGGACAGGATATCATGTCTGCATCTTGTACTATGAATGACCCCTAAGAAGACAACAATATGTAACGTATTAATTATTGAAATTGTCCTACTAATTGGTTTTGAAACTGTCTCATTGCTATTTGTTTCTCAATAAAATTATTTTTTAAAAAGATATTTTATAAGAAGCCATAAATGAACAGAAAATGCAAAGCTGCGTTAATTAAAAAAGTTGCAGAGGGCTTGGAGCCCCACCTGAACTGCCTGCTCCCTCCCTGTTCTCTCCCCCTATTTCTCCTCCTCCCACCTCACATTTCTCAGAGTTGATTGGGCCTTCCCCAAATTTTTATTTTACAGAGGCTTAAGTAAGAAGTAATGCTAGTTGGGGGCAAAAATATGTACAGGAAGGACGGGATGAGAAATTAGCAGTAAGAAGTAATGCTAGTTGGGGGCAAAAACATATACAGGAAGGACGGGATGAGAAATTAGCAGTGCCATTCACTTAATAAATTTTTGTTTTTCTTTTTGGTTTCATGCTGTGGCTTCTGCTCAGACTGCTCTGATTCTTCTTGCTGTCCCTGACCTCTAAAGTGACATGTATGTTTTATCCTTAGTTATGGCTAACTTGTGTAGGACTTTCGGTGCTTTTTTTTTTATTTGTTTTTTGCAGAACCAGGGATTGAACTTAGGCCCTTGGCGCTTGCCAGGGAAACGCTTATTCTACTGAGCCATCTCCCCAGGCCCTCGGTGCTTTTAAAAGCAAGATAGTGAAGGAAAACACAACATAAGAAGAGACACTTTTGCAAAGCATACATGTTTTACTCTGACAATGCAAACCTAGCTATGTACTAACTTGCCTGGCCATGGCCCTGTAGCTCTAGAGTTTCCCTCTCTTTCCACTCTGAAATTTGTAAGTTAGATGGACAGAGAAGCTTCCTGATCAGGCTTCCCTCACCCCAGATGCTGCTCCTCAAGCATCGGACATGAGGGAGGGACATCAGTGTTGTCAATGGATGACAGGAGCACTGACACTTTTTTCTTATAGACCCAATTACATGGATCACAGTTTTTGTCTAGGATGGCTGGTGTTCTAAGCACTGTGGGAACAATAGTGTTGTATGTGACCTTTGCCCTCGGGCAGCTAACAGTCTAGTCGAGCAGACAAAAGTAACAATTAGAAAGTAAGGCAAGAGGCTGAGATTCACTGCCACATTATGTGGCTAGTCACGGAGAGAGAGCTCTGCCTACAGTTGGAAGAATGAGATGGTTTGCTCACCTGGTATTTCACCTCAGTAACACACCCCTTTTCTCTCCAGTCCACAGAATCGGGCAGTTTCTGATTAGGAACTGATTTGAAAGTGACATTTCGAGGCCATTGGCTGGGAACTCTCAAGGAACTCATCAGAGACAGAACTTCTTCACTGGTCTGCGAAGCAAAGATACATTCCTTTTTCAGATCCTTCTTTGAAACATCCTAGTAACTGTAAATATGAATTTATTTTAAAACAGAAAAACCAGGGAAGAGTTGTGACCAGGATAGGCACTATTGAATGATGAGGTGAATTGTCAAGGGTTTTTTTGTTTTGCTTGTTTGTTTGTTTTGAGTTAGGGTCTCACTGCGTAGGTCAAGCTGATCCTGAACTCACTACTCCAGGCTGGCCTTCAACTCACAGCACTTCTCCTGTCTCAGCCTCTTCTCAGTTAGCCAAGTATGCTCATTGAGGAATAGAAAAAGAAAATGTAAAAACTGAAAATTACAGGGAAGCAGACGCAAGGCGTGCTCTTATAAAATGCACTTCTATGAATGTATAGAAGTGGGCAAAATTGGCTTTCCTTTTTTTCTTTTTTCTTTTTGTGGAATCAGGGATTGAACTCAGGCCCTTGCCCATCTCCCTGACCCCCAAAACACCAATATTTATTTTTGGCAGGACCAGGGATTGAACTCAGGCCCTTGTGCTTGCCAGGGAAGCACTTATTCTGCTGAGCCATCTCTCCAGCCCCTAGCTTTCCCTTTGAGAAAGAATTCCAGAGGAGATTTCAGCATTTAAGTAGGAGTTTGGTCTCCCCAAGATATTACCTGCCGAATGGTACCACAAGTTTTGATTTTGGCCACAGTAGTAAAGTTGCGTAGAATAGAACAGAATCTATAATTAACAGGAGGGCCAGGGACACAACTTAGTGATAGAAGGCCTCTTTAGGACATCCGAGTCCTCAGCAACACACACTTACACACACACACACACACACACCCCAAATGGGAGATTATGATGTTATGCTCAAAGTATGTGGGCCTGTGTGGTTTCTTTTTATTTACATAAATATAGTAATTTGCTGTAAAGGACTATGAGCAATATTCAAAAAGTTCTTCTTAGAATTCATTTCAAAATGAAGGTGATAGTAGTCTGTGAGTTCAAAATTTCTACTTAAGAAGGGACTTGTGAAGCTTAAGTGGTCAAAGTAGGAATTTCAGGACGATTCTTATTCCTTATATCTCACTGTTTTTTTGCTTTGTATGTGTGGCTACATGCTGTGGTTTTGCTCCCCTTGGTGCTGCTGAGGACTGAGTCAGGGGCCTCCTGCATGGTAGGCGGGTGCTCTATGAAAAACAAATTTTGCCAAACACTGCTGATTGCTAACCAAGCTGTTTATAGACAGAGGCATTCCTGAACTGGGGTAGCAAACTGCATGTGATTTGCCTACCATGTCCGCCAGGTGGTTCATGCCCAGGTCATATGAATGCATTCCCATTGAATGTTCCAGGTTGTGAAGCATCACAAACTTTAAATTCTTCTCCCAGATGAGCCGCCGCACTTCTTCTTCATTCTGTCATACAGGTAGGAGAACAGAGCTATACTTCATTCTGAACAAATTAATGTTCAATAGTGAAAATGGCATTTTATGAAGCATTTTATCTCTGTCTCAAGGATAGGAGTAAATGAATATATCCAATATAACTGCTAAAATCACCTACTAATTATAATTCTTGGAGATGAACCAAGCC